CGTGTCCGTTCGAGACGCCAACGACGCGTTCTGCATGATGCATGGGATGTCGGAAGAAGAAGAAAATCAAAAAAGCGAGAATTTAAATCGAATTCTTTAAATCGATGACTTTTATTGTTCTATTTGGTGGAATGAGACTCATTCTCATTCAAAAACGAACCTATTTTGATTATCCGACTATCTTTTAGAATTTATTTCTCAAGATCAAATCCAGATATTAACAAACAGGTTGATGCATCAAATTCGCTATGAAATTCTAAATAAATCTGCATAATTTGGTATCTTCACTTTTATTAATCACTATGATACAAGTCTTTGAAGTTGAACTAACATGTCAAAATAATTCGAGGTTTTTGGGTCATCTTTAGTAATATATTTCTCAAGAACAAACAGAGATACTAATAAGCGGGTTAATGAGTTAAATTCCCTATTTAATTCTNATAAATCTGTATAATTTGTTATCTTCACTTTTATTAATCACTATGATACAAGTTTTTGAAATTGAATTTTAATTCGGGGTTTTCGAGTTATCTTTATCATTTTATATCTCACTAACAAATCGAGACTTTAATAAACAGGTTATTGCATTAAATTCATTTTTTAATTCTAAATAAATCCACCAAATTTTGCATCTCCACTTTCATTAATCACTGAGATACAAATCTTTTAAATTAACCTTGCAGTAATGTCTCAATACAAATTAGTTTTTTTGATTATCTTTTATAGTTTATATCTCAAGAAGAAATGGAGATATTAACAAACGGGTTGATGTATTAAATTCGTCATGGTATTCTAAATAAATCTGTGTAATTTCCTATCTTCACTTTTATTAATCACTATGATACAAGTTTTTGAAATTGAATTTTAATTCGGGGTTTTCGAGTTATCTTTATCAATTTATATCTCACTAATAAATCGAGACATTAATAAACGGGTTGTTGCATTAAATTCACTATTTAATTCTAAATAAATCCACTAAATTTTGCATCTCCATTTATATTAATCACTGAAATATAAATCTTTTAAATTAACCTTGCAATAACGTGTCAATCCAAATTAGTTTTTTTGATTATCTTTAATAGCTTATATCTCAAGAACAAATCGAGATATTAACAAACGGATTAAAGCATTAAATTCGTCATAAAATTCTAAATAAATCTGTATAATTTGCTATCTTCACTTTTATTAATCACTATGATACGAGTTTTTGAAATTGAATTTTAATTCCGGGTTTTCGAGTTATCTTTATCATTTTATATCTCACTAACAAATCGAGACATTAATAAACGGGTTGTTGCATTAAATTCATTGTTTAATTCTAAATAAATCCACCAAATTTTGCATCTCCACTTTCATTAATCACTGAGATATAAATCTTTTAAATTAACCTTGCAGTAATGTGTCAATACAAATGAGTTTTTTTTGATTATCTTTTAGAGTTTATATCTCAAGAACAAATCGAGATATTAACAAACGGATTAAAGCATTAAATTCGTCATGGTATTCTAAATAAATCTATGTAATTTGCTATCTTCACTTTTATTAATCAGTATGATACAAGTTTTTGAAATTGAATTTTAATTCGGGGTTTTCGAGTTATCTTTATCATTTTATATCTCATTAACAAATCGTGACATTAATAAACGGGTTGTTGGATTAAATTCACTATTTAATTATAAATAAATCCACCAAATTAAGCATCTCCACTTTCATTAATCACTGAGATTCAAATCTTTTAAATTAACCTTGCAGTAATGTGTCAATACAAATTAGTTTTTTTGATTATCTTTTAGAGTTTATATCTCAAGAACAAATCGAGATATTAACAAACGGATTAAAGCATCAAATTCGTCATGAAATTCTAAATAAGTCTGTATAATTTGCTATCTTCACTTTTATTAATCACTATGATACAAGTTTTTGAAATTGAATTTTAATTCGGGGTTTTCGAGTTATCTTTATCATTTTATATCTCACTAACAAATCGAGACATTAATAAACGGGTTGTTGCATCAAATTCACTATTTAATTCTAAATAAACTCACAAATTCCCTTTGTTTAATCATCGAGATAAAAATTGTTTCCTCAATCACCTTTTAGTTCTGCATTGTCTATCATTCGGTCAATTAGCCCCTAAAATGAAGTCATTCTTTATTGATGAGGGAATATCACCAGATACTTTTAGGCGTATTTAGATTAGTGAATGCATCGGGAAGACATGTATAATTAAGTAGTCTATAGGATAGAAGTGGACGTCGCGCCGTTGGTGATAATTTCTCGTTCAAAGTTTAACAGGAACCGGCTACAAAAGTAGCCATATAAATGTCGATACAAATGTAACGTGAATAACGTATGGGTAGAGCAAGTTTTTAACAGCACGGACCTTGTCTGAGTGCCTCATCAAATTTGAAAAGAGCACACGAGCAACAACAACAACCGTCTGGTATTTTTCCATTTTATTTTTAATTATTTACGCGCCATTTAAACATTCAGCGAGCGGTAAAAATTTCAACTGTTACGCGAATTTGTCGACGGCATCGTTCCGATTGATAAACCGTGTTAAAAATCAGCGATAATGGATTGGGATCCAAAAAAAAGCACGGAAAATGGCACGCTGCTACTAATGTAATTTTAACGAGTGCGCCTGTGCATACTTTCCAAAAGTTTCCAGGTCGGACTACCACTTTTTAAGCGCGTTAACTTCACCACAGTTGTACCGTTTGAAAGTTTTATTCTTTTGGCTAATTGCTGTTGCAGAACAACTCGTACTCACGGTTTTAAACTCTCGTTTATAAACGCAAAAAAAGTACATTTTCACATCTTTTCAGTTAAATTCTTTTTAATTTAAATCGTTTGAAAAAACGAATTAGCATCTAAATTATAAAATGGTTAAGATAAAGCAGTCCCTGAAATTCCTAATCGCCCTTATCGCTAAAATCCCCGTCCAAATTCCAATTCTACACGGTCTCTCCTACTCGTTTGCCGGTTTCCAAACCCATAAATCCCCTGGGACTGTGTCCTCATATGCATAATTCCGCCAATATGCACCAACCAACTCTAATTAATTCTAAAATTATCATTTGGGGATATTCGCCGGGGTGCCTAGAAATCATTCTCGTTGTCCCTTTACTAATTCCCTCGGGAATAAGTTAAATAAGTCTACTGGGTGCTCGCGGAAAATTCTCTTGTGACCTTCGTCGGGGCCTCCACGTCTCCAGAGCAATAGATACATCAAATTTAGTTACTCGGAGGTATTATAATAACGCCGCGGTCTCCCCGTGGGGCCCACCTCGAGCATTTTCAGGGTTTGGGAAAGCGCCCGGGGAAATATGCAATGAAAGTCTCAATGAAACTCGAGGACGTTTTGCATGTCTTGGTCTTTTTGCAGCTCGACTGTCGTTTGAAGCCTCGATGGACCATGCGGTGTCAGAAAAGTTGGGCCCCTTAATACTCTGCGACCTCCGAGTACACATTTTAAACAAGTTGCTCTTCCAACGTACCGGAGTTTTCGTCATTATATATTAAGAACAACTCGCGGTACAACTTCTTAAGATGATTTAAATATTCTTTGTAAAAGTTACCTAAATTATTCCTTTTTTATGTAGAATCTAAAACTAAGCTAAACAATTTGGTTTCGGACACATGTTGCTCGATGTCCCACTAAGTCCAGTTGAGCCACCACAATACAAAGCCCAGACCCAGGGCGTTACATATTCAATTAAACAAAAATCTATCAACTGCTTTGGCGCAAAGCGCCTTAATCCTAAAGGGTCCCCACGTTGTAGATAGATGCCGGTAGTTTTCGTAGGGGCCCCAAAATGCCCGGATTACAGAGACCCGCGCCCCGTAAGTCCGGTAATTACGGCCCCCGACAACCGAACGGGGGTTGAATTTCGTGCCCATTGATTGCTAGTAACTGATGCATTTTGTATTGTATGGGGGGTTAAAGGAAGAGTGCAGCGTCATTGCATGAAAAGGCCCCTCGTTATAATCCAAACGTTATCTCCTACTGGCCATTAGCTACAAAGCCATGGCTTTTTAAGTATTTGGGGGATTCTGCGTGTTTGATAGATAAAATAAAACTTGTTTATTTATAAAAGATTATTATCTGATAAATGTAAATTGAGTCTTAGCAAACTTCAAAAACTTGTATCTTAGTGATTAGTAAAAGCGAAGATACCAAATTACGCAGATTTATTTAGAATTCTCTTGATTTGTTCTTGAGATATAAACTATAAAAGATAATCAAAAAAACTAATTTGTATTGACACATTACTGCAAGGTTAATTTAAAATATTTATATCTCAGTGATTAATGAAAGTGGAGATGCAAAATTTTGTGGATTTATTTAGAATTAAATAGTGAATTTAATGCAACAACCCGTTTATTAATGTCTCGATTTGTTAGTGAGATATAAAATGATAAAGATAACTCGAAAACCCCGAATTAAAATTCAATTTCAAAAACTTGNCTATGATACAAGTTTTTGAAATTGAATTTTAATTCGGAGCTTTCGAGTTATCTTTATCATTTTATATCTCACTAACAAATCGAGACATTAATAAACGGGTTGTTGCATTAAATTCACTATTTAATTCTAAATAAATCCACCAAATTTTGCATCTTCACTTTTATTAATCACTGAGATAGCAAATTTTCTTTAGAACTCATTCTCATTCAAGGACAAACCTAGTTTGATCTAACTTCTAAGTGAACTCCCAACATTATCATTTTGATGATCCAAAGGGTTTAATTTGGGTTGTCGGTTTTGACGGGCGAACCATCGGAGGAGGGCCATAACGACGTCCTCCGGTCGGTTTACGTTGTTTCCGGTGCGCCAACCTCCGAAACTTGTTAATAGAATTGTTATGTAGGCACATAGTTATGCGAACCGCCCCACGGCTCTTGTTTCGATAGCGAAATGGCCGTAATGGTACCTCGGGGGTTCCCCGCAGGGTCAGCGCCATTACTAATCACGACCCTTTACTTCCTTGTTGCAGGTGTCAGACAAGAACAGGACATCTACGTGAGGCTCATAGATTCAGTTACGAAGCAGGTAAGTGTCATTTAATTTTTTTTATACAACAGATTAAAGTAGTGGAATTGATAAGTTGGTGGGCTCGTGTTGATAGATCTACTAAAGGGCTTAAGATAAGCCCATAATGGGAACGAAATATTTTCCTTCCTGAATGGGCGGGAGCGAAACGTGCTGTGCACGTGTCCTAGCAATCAGCAGCGCTATCACTCCGTGTAAAAGATAATCCGGGAGCCGCGTTCGAGGGGATGTCATTGTCGGTCGAAAAGGGCGTAGCACAAAATTTAATTTTAGTCAATCGACCGTTCAAAACATAATTCGGCGTCTTCGAGAAATTCTTCTAATTTCATCCGCCCTTATTGCATAATTCATTTAATTAGTCAACCCTCGATTTTCGGACCGAATATTTTAGGAGTCGAAGAAAACATAATGGTTCGTAATTAGATTTGGGAGGTGGTAATTGTGTTTATTGTCTTGTCGGGTAGTGAGTAAAGGTAATTTAGTATGTTTAGGGAATATTTTGTAGAGATTTCCCCACTTTAGTTGTTCAGGTATCCGCGGTGGTAAGGAAGCTTATAATATAAATTATTACCAAGACGGAGTGGAATGGAATTAGCCGCCGAATATCCTGTGGTAATCCAGGCACCTGGTTCTGCGTTGTCCTAAATTAGTCTCGCTGTAATAAATCCCCGATAATTGGCTGTTCGGCCACTACATAAACCATAAACCTCAGATTTCTCTTTGTATTTTATCTTATGCGCCTCCGCCGTTTCACCATTAAGTGCGGATGCGAACGTGTTAATAGTGATATACAATTACTCTGGCAGGTATTTTGCACTGTAATGTTCTAGGAGTATGTGTTCTAATTAATTTATATTGCGGATATCTCCTACACAAGGTAATTTCTCGATGAGCAAGGCGGCCTCCACTCCCATTTTCAACAAAAGCAATAAATTATTATTATTAAAATTATCGGAACGATGTACAGTAAAATGAACCTGTTGTAAATTTTGTAGAAACCCCCGGGAATATTTTGGTCACATCCAATATATTTCCCCAGTATTTACTATTAAACTATTTATTTTATTCAATGTCAATGTACACATTTACAAACTATGTTATTTATTGCAAAAACAATGCGTAACATAAACAATATAATTTTTATCTCGATCTAAAGAAGTGAATTAAAAAAATGCAAATCGCAGCGAACCTTTCATGATTACAAACCCATTCTCCCTGGTTTAATATTGCTAATTCCGCGGCGACGTGCATTTTATACAAGGCTAAACGAGGGTGCATGGCGTGTTCTCGCATGCTATCGGCACCCACTCACCTAAATGATTGCGGCAACAATCTTATTCGTCTTGCAAACGTACAGAGGAAACTAGACGACTCATTAGCTGATTGCGTTTGCTTGTAGTTCCGGTTGCACGCGCATCAACTTCATTACATCTTATCAGTTTCGGGGCACTTTTTTTATTATTATTATTCTACGAAAGAAGTCTCGTTACGAATTACTCACTTTTTAGATTATCAAATGATGATGTGTACTCTAATATTTACAAAGTACATTAAAAGTTTTGATCTATGCATGATTAAAATACAACCTATTCAATGAAAAACCCCGTTCTTGAAAACAGCATTTAGTTATTGAGATATTAACTTCAAGTCAAATTGGGTTATCTTTATTATTTTATATCTCACTAACAAATCGAGACATTAATAAACGGGTTGTTGCATTAAATTCACTATTTAATTCTAAATAAATCCACCAAATTTTGCTTCTCCACTTTCATTAATCACTGAGATATAAATCTTTTAAATTAACCTTGCAGTAATGTGTCAATACCAATTAGTTTTTTTGATTATCTTTTATAGTTTATATCTCAAGAACAAATCGAGATATTAACAAACGGATTAAAGCATTAAATTCGTCATAAAATTCTAAATAAATCTGTATAATTTGCTATCTTCACTTTTATTAATCACTATGATACAAGTTTTTGAAATTGAATTTTAATTCGGGGTTTTCGAGTTATCTTTATCATTTTATATCTCACTAACAAATCGAGACATTAATAAACGGGTTGTTGCATTAAATTCACTATTTAATTCTAAATAAATCCACCAAATTTTGCATCTCCACTTTCATTAATCACTGAGATATAAATCTTTTAAATTAACCTTGCAGTAATGTGTCAATACCAATTAGTTTTTTTGATTATCTTTTATAGTTTATATCTCAAGAACAAATCGAGATATTAACAAACGGATTAAAGCATTAAATTCGTCATAAAATTCTAAATAAATCTGTATAATTTGGTGTGTTCACTTTTATTGATCACTATGATACAAGTTTTTGAAATAGAATTTTAATTCGGGGTTTTCGAGTTATCTTTATCATTTTATATCTCACTAACAAATCGAGACATTAATAAACGGGTTATTGCATTAAATTCACTATTTAATTCTAAATAAATCCACCAAATTTTGCATCACCACTTTCATTAATCACTGAGATACAAATCTTTTAAATTAACCTTGCAGTAATGTGTCAATACAAATTAGTTTTTTTGATTATCTTTTATAGTTTGTATCTCAAGAACAAATTGAGATATTAACAAACGGATTAAAGCATTAAATTCGGCATAAAATTCTAAATAAATCTGTATAATTTGCTATCTTCACTTTTATTAATCACTATGATACAAGTTTTTGAAATTGAATTTTAATTCGGGGTTTTCGAGTTATCTTTATCATTTTATATCTCACTAACAAATCGAGACATTAATAAACGGGTTGTTGCATTAAATTCACTATTTAATTCTAAATAAATCCACCAAATTTTGCATCTCCACTTTCATTAATCACTGAGATATAAATCTTTTAAATTAACCTTGCAGTAATGTGTCAATACAAATTAGTTTTTTTGATTATCTTTTATAGTTTATATCTCAAGAACAAATCGAGATATTAACAAACGGATTAAAGCATTAAATTCGTCATAAAATTCTAAATAAATCTGTATAATTTGCTATCTTCACTTTTATTAATCACTATGATACAAGTTTTTGAAATTGAATTTTAATTCGGGGTTTTCGAGTTATCTTTATCATTTTATATCTCACTAACAAATCGAGACTTTAATAAACGGGTTGTTGCATTAAATTCACTATTTAATTCTAAATAAATCCACCAAATTTTGTGTCTCCACTTTCATTAATCACTGAGATATAAATCTTTTAAATTAACCTTGCAGTAATATGTCAATACAAATTAGTTTTTTTGATTATCTTTTAGAGTTTATATCTTAAGAACAAATCGAGATATTAACAAACGGATTAAAGCATTAAATTCGTCATAAAATTCTAAATAAATCTGTGTAATTTGCTATCTTCACTTTTATTAATCACTATGATACAAGTTTTTGAAATTGAATTTTAATTCGGGGTTTTCAAGTTATCTTTATCATTTTATATCTCACTAACAAATCGAGACATTAATAAACGGGTTGTTGCATTAAATTCACTATTTAATTCTAAATAAATCCACCAAATTTTGCATCTCCACTTTCATTAATCACTGAGATATAAATCTTTTAAATTAACCTTGCAGTAATGTGTCAATACAAATTAGTTTTTTTGATTATCTTTTATAGTTTATATCTCAAGAACAAATCGAGATATTAACAAACGGATTAAAGCATTAAATTCGTCATAAAATTCTAAATAAATCTGTATAATTTGCTATCTTCACTTTTATTAATCACTATGATACAAGTTTTTGAAATTGAATTTTAATTCGGGGTTTTCGAGTTATCTTTATCATTTTATATCTCACTAACAAATCGAGACATTAATAAACGGGTTGTTGCATTAAATTCACTATTTAGTTCTAAATAAATCCACCAAATTTTGCATCTCCACTTTCATTAATCACTGAGATACAAATCTTTTAAATTAACCTTGCAATAATGTGTCAATATACAAATTAGTTTTTTTGATTATCTTTTATAGTTTATATCTCAAGAACAAATTGAGATATTAACAAACTCATTAAAACATTAAATTCGTCATGGTATTCTAAATAAATCTGTGTAATTTGCTATCTTCACTTTTATTAATCATTATGATACAAGTTTTTGAAATTGAATTTTAATTCGGGGTTTTCGAGTTATCTTTATCATTTTATANTTAATATGAAATATGAAGCATTTTAAAGCAAATTTATTCTAATTTTAATGACTAAAAGATAAATTTTTAATTTCCGTCAATTAGGTTGCAATGATTTTTTAAAACCAACCTTAACATTAATAAAAAGTTATTTGTGGATCACATTGATGAGGCTGTATCTTAAGAACGAATTGAGATATCATCACAAATTAAGAAGCGTCTTAAAGTAAATTTATTGTAATTTTAATGATCAAATAAGTTTTTCATTTCAGTCAATGTGGTTATAGTAACTTTTTTAATTCAACTCTAACTTAATAATTATTTAGATTACACATAATCATGTTAATAGGGTTGTATCTCAAGAACAAATTGAGATATTAATATGAAATATGAAGCATTTTGAAGCAAATTTATTCCAATTTTAATGACTAAAAGATAAATTTTTAATTTCCGTCAATTAGGTTGCAATGATTTTTTAAAATCAACCTTAACATTAATAAAAAGTTATTTGTGGATCACATTGATGAGGCTGTATCTCAAGAACAAATTGAGATATTAATATGAAATATGAAGCATTTTAAAGCAAATTTATTCTAATTTTAATGACTCAAAAACAAATTTTTAATTTTCATCAATATGGTCGCAATGTTTTTTAATTCAACCACAACTAATTTGTATTGACACATTACTGCAAGGTTAATTTAAAAGATTTGTATCTCAGTGATTAATGAAAGTGGAGATGCAAAATTTGGTGGATTTATTTAGAATTTCATGACGAATTTAATGCTTTAAGCCGTTTGTTAATATCTTGATTTGTTCTTGAGAAATAGACTCTAAAAGATAATCAAA